GCTGCTCCTCTCTGGCTTCCACGGCACCTCTTCCCAACCTCCCCAGCCAGCAAGCCAGCAAGCGCGGCCTGATCGTTGGCGGCGCCCTCCTGCAGGCTGAACGAGATAGCTCAGGAGCTGGAGGCGCGGCTGCTGTACGGCTCCGCCGAGGACATGGACTGCAGTGCGTGCTGCGTACCGCATCTACCGCTACAGCACCACATGCACTGCCGCATTGTTCCTGCGCTGCCGCTGGGCCGCTGCCCGCCTTCCTGCCCGACTGCATTTCCTCAGCCTCTCCTGCTGGCGCCGCTGGCGCCTGACGCTTGTTGCTGCCTGGCCGCTGGTGGCAAGTAGCGCGCACGCACAGCCTTGCCCCCGCCTCTGCCGCCTGCAGATGTGAGCGAGGTGCTCATCTGTGCCGAGGACGTGGCTCTCTTCCTGGAGAAGCTGGTGCAACGGGTGAGCCGGGGCCAAGCGGGGTGAGGGGTGCTAAGGGTCAGGCTGGCTGGGCAGTAGGGAGCGGCAGGAGCAGCAGGAGTCGGCGTGCTCCTCACGACAAGGGAAGCTGCGGGGCGCTGTGGGTGGCTGAGCGCCGACTGCGGCGAGCTGTAAGGCGCTGCTGACGCGGGGCTGCCCTTGTGCCTCGCCCCGCTGCCCGCGCGCTGCAGAACGCGCAGCGTGCACGCCACGGCGAGCCCCCGATCCGCCCGCTGGTGCTCACCAGCAAGGACCGAGCGGGTGAGGCAGCCTTTGGCCGGCTTGGGTCCGCCTGTGTGCGTGTGTGGCTTTGTGTGTTGTGGTGGCGGGCATGCAAGAGGGAAATATGGTGGCGGTGCCAGCGCTGTTTGGGCACCGCAGCAGCACAGGAACAGGTGTGTTTGCCCTGCTTGCCCCTCTGCCTCGACGCCTGCCCTGGCTGTGCCGTGCCGGCCCCCGCCCTCTCCATCCCTGCCGCAGACGTGCTGCTGAGCCTGGCGGCAGCCCACGTGACGGGCATGGGCCCACACGTGGCTGGCATCGTGCTGACCGATGCCGAGCGAGGCGTGGGGTGAGTGGTGCTGCGGCTGCGCTGCGCTGCGCCGAACTGCGCCGGGCCGCGCTCTGCATGCTGAGCCGGGCTGTGCTGGGCTGCGCGGGGCTGCCCTCCCATCTGGCCTGCATTGTTGACTGGCATGGCCACTCCGGCGGCGCGGTCTGTGGCCGATTGAAAGGCAGCATCAGTGCAGCATGCCATGTGATGCCTGGCCGGCAAGGTCTCTTGCCAGCGCCCCAGCGTCGATCGGCATGCTGGACCTGTTGCTCTCATCGGCCACACAGCGCATCGCCACGACGGCCATGCCACCCAACGACTGCCGGCCAGGCGTCACACGGCGACGCCCCAGCCAGCCAACCAGCCGGCGCGGAGCCGCCACTGCTGCAGCGCCCCCACCCGGCTGCTTGGCTGGCTGCCGCATGGATCTGTCTTGTCTTCCAGCCCTGCCTGTATGCCTGGTGGGCTGCCGGGGCTCGTTCGTCTGGTGTTGACACCTGGCTGGCTACACCTTGAGCTGTTGGCAAGCCCGGCGGCCGCATGCGGCACGCCCCAGCCAGCCCGTCGCGTTGCAGAGAGCGCACCAGCGATGGGCGGGTGGGCCGGTCTGTGGGGATGCTCTGCTGACGGCTTGGGCTGGCTTGGTTGCCGCCAGCTCACACCTGGCTGGCCGGGGCACGCCGCTCCGGCCTGCCAGGCGTGGCACGGCAAGGCCCCAGCCAGCCCATGGGCCGCAGGGCATCACCTGGCGCAGGCTCTGGGATGAACCCCTGGCTGCCGCTGGTCCAGTCCAGACTGCCACTGCTCTGGCCGCCTGGCATGCTGCGCACGTCTTCCTAGCAGCAGGCGTTCTGGTGTCATTTGGTTTCATGAACAACATGGCTGCCCATGTAGCTCAAATAGGCCTTCTGCTGTCATTTGGTTTTTATGCACAAGTTGGCGCCCCATATTGCTTGCTTCTAACACTGAGCGACAATCTTTTCGCTCAGTGTGCGCTGTGTGGGCAGGGTTAGTCGACGGGCGTGCGGGTTAGAGAGGGCTTTGTGGCCCCACGCCGCCTTTCTGCGATGTGCCGACCGCTCCATGCCTGGCTGCCCGGTGTCCCTGCCTCGCCACTGCCGCGACACCTGCCCTCACCCTTGCCGCGTCGCTTGCCTCCTCCGCCGCCCCCGCAGCTCAGCCACCGACCGCATCCTCATGCATTACTCAGGTGAGGGTGCCCGCTGCCCTCCCTGCCCTGCCTGCTGTGGTGGTGGTGGCGTTAACGTCCAAACGCCCACCCCCGCTGCCCTCCTGCCCTGCCTGCTGCCAGCTGCTGGCCATGCCCGCTGCACCACCGGCCTGCAGCCACCGGCCTGCCCTGCTGCCCTGCCTGCCTGCCGATGCCAGCCGCGCTGCCGGCTGTGCAAGCTGCAAACACTGCTCGCCGCGGCTGCTGTCCTCCCCTCCCCTCCCTTGCCACCCACCCTCGCCCACTTGCACCACCACCACTGCCACCACCACCACCACCATCACCATTACACACAGAGACACTGACGCTGTCGTTACCGCCCTCAACCCTCCCCCTGCAGACCAGCTGGTCCCCGTGATTGAAACCCCCACCGGCCTGTTTGAGACCGCACGCGTGGTGTCCTCGGTGAGCGGTCCAGGCAGGCAGGCAGGCATCAGGTAGCCAGCCTTTAGTGTCGGCGGCCGCTGTTGCCAGTCCAGCCAGCTGCTGCTGCACTCCTCCTGCCCGACCCCCCTCCCCTCCCTCCACCGCCACACCCGTGCCGCCTCTCCTCTGCCTCGCACCACCCACAACCCCAGCGCCCTCGCCGACTCGCATCAATGCTTTGCGACATGGGGTGTCTCCGGCAGCCGCTCACTGCAGCTGCGGCCCTGCAGGCGCTGTTGCTCTGTGGGATGATGTTCAGCACCAGCACGGTGCCGGCACTGCCAAGGCACCTGCCGGGCACCATGCTCGGCACCGTGCTGCTGCTGGGCATCACCATCTCTGCTCACCAGCGCCTGCAGGGCCGCCGCCGCGGTGGGCAGCCAGCCCAGCCGCGGCGAGCAGCAGGGCGGCGGACACGCCGCCATCGCCCGTCTGAAAGGGAGTTAGACAGAGACTCCCCGTTTGCCGAATCGCACCCTCCATCGTATCCTCCCCGGGATCTACCCTCCCCTGCCTGCCATCTCTCGCGGCCTGCCCCCTCCCCTGCCCTCTTTTCACCCTCACTCCACCACCGCCACCACCACGGCCCTGCCTCGGCAGCCTTCCCGGCGCCTCCACCGGTGCCCCCTGGGAGAGACCCCTGCCCTGCGCTGCAGGTCAACCCCGGCATCCTGCCCGAGTCGTATTCCAAGATCAAGCACGCCCAGGACCTGGCTGCCCAGTACATCGACGCCAATGCCATCGCCTCGCAGCTGGCCATGCCCAAGCAGGTGGGCAAGGGTGTGTGTGTGTGCGTGTGTGGTTGTGGTTGTGTGTGTGTGGTTGTGTGTGTGTGTCTCCTCGCTGGCTGAGACTGCACTGCCGCCCGCCAATCGTTTCGCCGAGATGTGGCTGGCCGTGCCGGTTGCGCCGACCGACCTGTGCCGCGACTTAGTTGACCGACCCGCACCGCTAGTGTTGCCCACGTACTGACCTGTACTGCCCCCGTACCGCAGGCCAAGATGACCCCCAAGGCCTTCATCCACAGCATCCAGGAGATCTGCCGCTCCCAGCCGCAGCACATCGTGCTGCCTGAGGTGGGGCGGCCGACGAGGTTGGATGGGTGCCACATGTGGCGGTGGTGGCGGTGATGGTGGCGTGGGTGGGTGGGGGGTATCGCACCACATGCCTCGCCGACCATCCAGCCCACCGCCGCTGCACTGCTGTCATTTCGTCCAGCCCCGCCCTCCCCGCCCTCCCCGGGGTCGCACTGGATGGCTGAGGAGACAGGCCGGTGGCAGCGGCTGGACCGCACCCAGCGCCCATGCCCCCACTGCCAGGCCCCTCTAGAGGACGTACGCCACGCAGTGTATGACTGCCCCCTATACGCTGGGCTGAGGGAGGAGTA